GTGATTACAGGCATGCCCGGGCCTGTCAAGTTCACCAGGGCAAGAACGGAGCAGGCGTTGACCTTCGAAAAAAAAAGGTTATATTCGAATACAACAATTTTCTCTTCGTGAAATTCAAATAAAATGCATATGCGTATTATTTGAATAGAACACATATGTGTTATATTTGAAGTACCCTTGTATTTGAAGAAAAATGTCTAACTTTATGAAAACCATTTTTTTTGGAAAACTCGAATACAACACATATGCGTTATGTTCGGGGGAAGACGATAGCCCTTGATTGTCTTCTCAGCCTACCTGATCTCCTGATCGTGGCAATCAGCACTGCCCTTTTCACGGTTTTCGGTGAGTAGGATTCGTAGTCCTGCATCGTTTGGAAAATGAGAGTCCCACTCTCGTGCAAAGCTTTGGTGTTCTTTGTGCTGGGTGAGTAATGCAGTTGAAGAGGGTTCACGAAGATCATCATCGTGCCCCCCACGAATTCCCATGCGAATCCACAGTCATCCTTGCGAATCACTTCTAGGTGTCGGTCGTAGATGCCTTTGAATGCTTGAAATATATTGTTTAGATACTAGTGGTTCTGAGTATTGTCCGTTATGCCTACGACGATGGTAATGTCGTCCATGATCCTCCATCCTCCCACTAGTCTCTTGTCAGCCCCCAACTCATTGAAGAAGCGTAGCTTGGCCATTGCACATGTAATGGAAGCGAGGATGGGGCTGGTAGCCTTCCCCATCGGGATCCCGAACACTTGTCTAACCAGCATCGTGCCGCATCTTACCACAACGTGCCTGATGTCATACCTCACTCCTTCCATGATCGTCTTGAGTGGCAAGCCCATGTAGCCCTCCATCTTCTTCTTGTTGTTGCTGATAACGCAAAGCTTGCATCTAAAAGAAACTCGAACCTATTTGCAACCATCATCTTCGTACTTCCGAAGCAATTGCTGCACTGCCTGGATCACTGCTCCATGCGGGATGCGGGAGAACATCTCCTTAACATCATAGCACCTACCCGTCGCCTGGTTGCAGCCAACCACCCTCAACCGTTGTGAAGTAGCCTGTAGGCGCTCCGCCAGTTCGGCTACCGAGTTGAGGTAGAAAGTGCAGTGCAATGGCAAACGCCTCAGTAGACCGTGGAATGCACTTGCTATACGTCTCTGTGCGACTTTCCTTGCAAAGTCCTGATATCTCTGTAATGCGTCCTCCTCCCTTGTCCTTTTCTCTTCTTGGATTCTACGTCTGTCCTCCATCTCCTGCCTCTCCTTTCGTACCCGTCGAAAATGTTCCTTCATTTCTTCGAGTTTGGGATCACCTTGTGTGTTTGTGTATCCCCTGCCTCTTTTTGCCCAACAATCGCGGGCAAAGTGGCCTACCTTTCCACAGTTGTAACCCGTACTACCGTTACCCCCCGCCGTACTCCTCCACCTACGTGCCCAATATTACTACCAAGAAGCTGTCCTGCACCTCCACCAAATGTTGCACCATTCCCGAAGCCCTTTCCCACACTATTGTTATTCCCTTGCCTGGCCCCCTCGGGGCCATTAGTAAGGAACATCGCGTACTCCTTCCGCCTATCTCCCGTCTGAAAATTGCCGTTTTCCTAAACATCCCTCACTATCTACCAGATCTAGGTGCATTTCACTCCCTCCAAATGTCGACAATCTCTTGAGAACAAATTCTGCGTCTAGCTCGCAAGATTAGTAGTGTCGTCTTGATCTTGATCAGCATGCTCATCATCAGGTCATATAGCCCCGCACGTAGAGTCTCACCTCGCACGAATCCAATCATAAAATGCATAGGTTCAATCGTGTCCCTAACGTAGTCCTCAAGCGCTTCGATGAGTCGTGTCCGGACAATTGGTAACCCTCTCTTGTACGCTCCACACGTTCCGCTGCATCTCGCGCATGGTGTTGACATCGTGTCATAAAGCGAGTTCGATAATAATCAGCCCGATTTCAACCACCATGATCCTGAGGCCATAAAGGATGGTCTGGATCATCACCCCTCGTTGCATGGCCCTCGGATCATCCACGCTGGTATGGTTGCATCGCGTTGGCTCTGCCTCCTTCGTTCTGAAGCCACGTAGCACGTCGAAGTCGTTAGGACGTCCATGGAGGTGTTGTCCCGGTATGTCTCCTACTAGCAGTGTTCCACTTCGCTTGAAGGTCGTGGCTAATCGGAAAAAACATCGTCTTCTAGTACTCGTCCGCTCCTTGTGTTCACTGATGCCCGAATCCTCATTCCCGTGTAGACGTAGCCACAGAGCAACACAAACAACTGAAAGTTACCACACGCTTGAGAGTAGGACTGCGGCTAAATAGCCCGTGTAGCCATAACCAAGTTACAAAAGCGGAAATCCCTCGACCGGTTTCGCCTGTCCCCGCAGGTCTCCTCGGGAGGGTGACTCGAGTGAGCCTTTGTGCTCGAAAGGGAGACTGAAGCCTTGCCTCCCTCAACAAGTATTGTTATCACTTGTCAGATATGTTCGTCGTCTCCGTCCGTGAGTAACGTCCGTCAGCTACTTCCGACTCCTGCGGAAACCACACCTGTCCCCGGTATCACGCCTGTCCCTTCGGAAAGTCGTCCCCGAGCGGTCTTACCGCTGACCGTGTACGCCCCCGTTTCCTGTATCGGTATTGACGAAGCTATTAGCTAGATTCCCTACCCCGCTGTCCGCTATTCGAATCCCCTGGTGCCTGTACTAACCTTCAAAAAGGGACCAGGTGTTGAACATGTTCTACTCCGAAAAACTACTTCCCCTTCCGGGTCTAATCGTGTTCTCTGTGCTTTTTCCAAAAATACTCCGAAAATACTCCGAAAATACTCTTAAAACATAGGCCTGCCAAAGCTCGGAGCGATACCGAAAAGACAAAACCAAGGTAAGCCTACGAAGAAGAGAACGCTAGACTGCCGAAAATGCCGAAAATCGAAAACGAAAACGAAAACGAAAAAAACAAAAAAAAAACTGAAAAACAATTGTTCGAGTCCTAAAAAATCCTTGCTACCGTCGGACCTTGTTGTGTTGGTCCAGTCTCCTAGCCCTGGATTGTCTTCTCAGCCTACCTGAGTATGATATGGCCTCAAAAAGACGGTGCAATGCTCGATCGGGCACAACCTTGGCTAAGTCAGCCAAAGCGCAGAGAGAGAGAGAGAGAGAGAGAGAGAGAGAGAGAGAGAGAGAGAGAGAGAGAGAGAGAGAGAGAGAGAGAGAGAGAGAGAGAGA